ATCTATATTGTATTTTGCATATTGATGGTCACATTCCAGGTAAAAGATATAGCCTACCGAGTTCGAGAATAATGATTCATCAGCCACTTGGCGGAGCACAGGGTTCGTCGACTGACATTGATGTTCAGGTAAATATATCTTCTGTAAAAAGCTCGTGATAATTTTGTTTTAAATATATCTTCTGCAAGAGTTTCTGGTTTTGTATTTGAATTTTTTCCACGTACTGTACTTTACTGGTAGCAACGTATAATTGTCTGTGCTAACTTGTTCTTTTCGCAGACAGATGAAATGCTGTATCACAAAGCGAATTTAACCGGCTATTTGGCCCAATTCACTGGTCATAGCTTGATGAAGGTGTACGAAGACACTGATTATGATTATTTCATGAGTGCTAAAGAAGCCAAAGAGTACGGGCTCATAGATGGTATCATCTTAAACCCTCTTAAAACCCTACAACCACTTGCAGCTGCAGGACACAACAGTAATAATGATTCGAGTGAGTGAGTGAGCGAGCAACAACTTATAGCCATTGTTTGTTGCTGTATTTTGATGTGTTCTCATTGAGAAATCACAATGTACTGGCATTTTCGATTTCCATTCGAACAAACTTTTAGTGATTTTATCTCTTTTGAGTTGGGCATGTGACTTGAATATTTCTAAGGTTGAGTTTTCATTCTCAATGTATTGATTGTTGAGTTCGAGACTGTTCTGTTGCGAACTCCCTGAATTTTTATTTAGCTGAGCAGTTGGTTGAACGAGCTCGATTTTTCATTACCTTACAATTCCCAAAAAATCTGGCTAATTGTAAGAGAAGGCCATTTAGGATTATATTGTCGAAATACCTATGTCAAAAGAATGATGCAAAGAATACTTGAGAATTGTTCAGTTGAAGCCAGAAAAGAGTATATGGATGATGATCAATGATGGATGAAAGGAGACATAAAAGGTTAAAAACAAAAAGTAGAGGGGGTAAAATGCAAAAAACATAAAACATTTTGACTTCGTTGGTCTCTCTAGCCTTTGTTGACTAAACAACAATTTTTGATTGTATTGATAAGTTGGGCTACAGCAACAACGAGCTAACGAAAAATTAAATAGATTTCTATTTTTGGAACCTTCAATTTTGGCTTGCATAAAGTTTATGGAGCCATCAAATAGCTCACTTATGGAGTTATCCACACCTTTATTATATATTGACACGTGTCCAATATATATTTAATACAGTACACGTATCAATACTATTTGTGAAAAATTATGGATGACTCCATAAGTCGAGCCATCCGATGAGTCAATAGCAAAAACCGCTTGTTTATCAATATTTGATAAATTTGGATTTGAGCCATGTCGAGCTAACTTAAAAAAAAAAAAAAAAAAGTTAAATATTTTTTGTTTTCGAACCATAAACAAATTGAGTCGATGTAGGTGTCGAGTTAGGTAGACAAACTCGTTAGCTGAATTATACGGAAAAAAAAGGAACTATATAAAAAATTATATTTTAAAATGCGCCTTGCCACCTCAGCGTCTCTCCACTTTCGAACCCGATTCTCCTGATATTTTTCACCTCTCTCTGTCTCTCTCTGTGTGTGTGTCTCGCGCCCCTGTTCATCACTCTGAAAATATTCTTTCATCAAGGAATCGAAACGATGGTGTCTAAATCTAAATTCAGAGTCTGTCTTCTGCTCTCTCTCTCTCTCTCTACACCTCTATCTTATGTGAACTAGCTTTTTTTCTTTTCCGATGCTTGATTTTGATTTTTTTCCGCAATTTTTATGTTTATGTGCCAAGATTTTTTTTTATCACCGCTTTAAGAACTTGATGATGCTCGTACGTGTGATTTTATTTTTAATTTTTTTTAATTTGTTCCTCAAAATTTGAGCTTGTACGTCGCACGCCTGAATTCTTGAGCTGGGCCTGGGTGGTAGGATCGAATCTACCGAATGAGAAAGTACCAGTAGGAATATGTCTTTGTTATCTGTATGTAGATTTGTTAATTCATATTGTTCTCATTTTCCTTTTCTTTTTCGCGTGTTTTGCTTGTTTATTTGGCTGTTACTCGTCTCTCTCTTACCGATCTAATCTATTTCATTGACGATCATAACTCATATGCTTTGGTCGTCATCTTGTGTGCAAAAGCTTTCAAGCTTCGTTGAAATTGTTTTGACTTTTTTGAGTTTCATGCTATTCGCCCATCTTTTCAATGAGTAAATTAGTGCACTGATTATTACTTATTCATTTGGTTGACAGAAGTTTCACGGGGAACTGGGGAGTGATGCCATGGCAAACTTGGGTGTTAAGCTTACACAGCTGAAAAGGCAGATACACTCAGAAAGAGTTGTTTCAGTTGGAGTACTTTTCGCCAGCTTTCGTTTCTTTTTTCTGTCAAATCAGTGCATTTTCACTCTAGATAAACTATTTCAGTTCACCGCAGCTTAGGGCCTAGGGTTTGGGGCTGTGGAAATAACCTCAGATGATTGTTCTTGCTTTTTCACCTGAACAAAAATCTCATCTTTTCATTATGGTAACAAGAGTAGTCTAGGTACCATAATGTCCAGCTTTTTGATAGCGTGGGCTTGTGAATGTCAATGGAACTAAAACATTTGGTGCATATCCTGCATATAATCCGAATGTCCAAGAATTGCCATTGTTGACTTGTGTACAATATGTTTTTTAAAGTTTTTTATACGATCTTGATGTCGTTTCTTAGACCAATTATGGTATATGGCTTATACTGTTCTTTCCCAGGAAAAACTTGAGAAAAATAGAAAGAAGGCTGAAGCTTATATTTCTCACCTCAAAGAATTGGCTGTCTCACGGGCTGATTGTGCTCTCCCAGGGAGTAATAGTAATTCAGGCAATTTCCTTTCCTTGGGAATGAACAATCCTCTCTGCAAAGTTCAGGGCCATATGCAAGGACATGTGGATAGAGATGATGCTGATAGCGAAGAAGTTTTGTTCCCTATGACTGCCAGACTTCCACTTGTTGAGAGAATACCTCCCTATACTACTTGGATTTTCTTAGATAGGTTAAGGACCATCACAGTAGTTTTCATTTTTCACGGTTTGTTGCCTAAAATATTTTGTTTTTCCGTTATCTATTTCATTCTTGAGTTGAAAAGAAAGACTAATGTCTGATTTTAGTTTTCTATACAATCTGGGTGCAGAAATTGACCTACCTTATATGCATATATATTTGCAATTCATCATTTACTCACGTTTCCTTTGCACAGCACAGAAATCAGAGAATGGCTGATAATCAATCAGTTGTGGGGCGTAGACGGATTTACTATGATCCACATGGTAGTGAGGCTCTCATCTGTAGTGACAGCGAAGAAGAGATCATACAAGTGGAGAAGGAGAAATATGATTTTTCTGAGGGCGAAGATCGTGTGATGAGGTCTGTTTATAATCTCTGTATTGCTTCCGAAAAAATCGATATGGGAATGCAGCAATTACTGTTATCGTACTTCCTGAGACGACATAGTTGGTTATGCTGACCTTAATGTCATTAGTATGTACCTTCCATATAACTACGATATATATACTCTGGAATATGCTTTTAGTCTTGCAGCTGTTATGTAGTACTATATTTTCAACCAACATTGGATTTCCTGAATTGATGGAATCAGATGTTTTCTTATGTATATTGTCATTTTCTAGGGTGGCTGTCCAGGAGTGTGGGGTTGCTAATGAAGTTTTTGATATGTTGACCCAGTTTGTTGGAGGAACGTCTCAGGATATTAAAGTAAATTCTTTATGTGACACTACATAAATTTGCAAAATTAGTGATAATAATCAGGTGGTTTTGTTAGATTTTTTTTTTTCCCTCCTTTTATGAGGAAATGATCACTTGACTTGTGTCGACAATTCTTTCTTTATGCTTGCAGTTATCTCCTTTAATTTATCATTTGTTTGGTATGCAGGAACACTGCAACATGCTCATGGAAAATGATCCACCTATAGAAAAAATGAGCGCTGAAAGTTCGAGGGAAACGGGATTTGTAGACAGTCTGTTCCTGGAAAAAAGCCTGGCTGCTGCTTTAGATTCTTTTGACAATCTATTTTGTCGGCGCTGTCTGGTATGTAGTCTTGGTGTGTGTGTTGTCATTCTGTGTTTAACTGTGTTATCAGGCAGCTCCTTTTGGTCCCTCTTTCATTCGTCTCGTACTTCCATGTACAATTTATTGCACATTAAACTATAACCTTACTCATATGAGATTGAAAGATAACTCTATTACAATCAGATTATGATTTTCTAATCACGCTCATTGTTGGCTTTTCTGAACTTACCTCCCAATATTAACAGGTATTTGACTGCCATTTGCATGGTTGTTTTCAAGATGTAATTAACCCGGTAAGGAAAATGGATGCATAAATTATTTTGGACACACACATACACACACATATATTCTGATCACACATGCTCTGGTGGACAGAATGAAAAGCAACCATTCACATTTGATCACGAAGATGACCGTAAACCCTGTGGTGATCAATGCTATCTTCAGGTAGAAAAATTTGTAAAGAATCCTAACGTTAATGAGTCTATTTAGAGAATCTAAGAGTTCTTTTTTATTTCCTTCAAAAAGATCAAATAAACCACGCTTTGAATGATATAGTGTATCAATTTATTGCCAAAAACTACAGAAGCCTGAGGATTGGTATCATATTTTACTTTTATGCGATTTGCGACTTTTGTTCGTTGTGCACATTACTACGTGAGTGATGAGTCCTGAATTATTGTTTGTCGAAACTAATTGTTAGAAGCATAGCCCAATTATTAATTTCATGATCTCCCCCTTTCGTATATTTGTCCTTCACGGAAGATTTCATCTTGTTGCCATTTAGATGCATGCTGTGAAGAATTTGCCAAAGAATTCACGTGTAGATTCCCTGAACGAGCATAAAACATCTGATGAGAAAGGTAAAAATTTGATATTACTGCCTCTGATTGTCTTTTGGCCTTTCTCCTTTTGAATATCTTGATAATCACATTTGTCATGTAGCACATTTTCCAGAAAGCAAAGGAAGGTCCTCAATACTTCAACCTACAGATTCGTTAGCTGCACCAACAGAATTGGTTTTGGAGGAATTCCAAAGTTCATCCAATAAGAAACTTGAGCTGAATGACATGAGTCCTGTGGATAATAGTACAGGTTTAGAGGGCCAGTTCTCTAAAACGAGTGGACCCATTGTATATGAACTCAAGAGGTCAGCACCCTCTTCTCTTGTTTTTGCCATAAGCACATTTTCGATGGGTTTTTATCATCTCACGACATAACTGGTGATGAGTTCAGGGACAATGTCCAAGATAAAGGGAAAGATATCACTGAACTCCCACTGAAGCAGGCATCCAATTCCATTGAAGAATCCGTTAAAGTTCCGCATAGTTGGAAACCTTTTGAAAAAGACTTGTACTTGAAAGGCTTAGAGATATTTGGAAGAAATAGGTATGGGAATCTCGGGTTTTGTTGGCCATTTTGCTTGAATGATTACTGTTTGGTCTTTGTTCGTGATCAAAGAAGGTCGTGAGAGGATTATATATATGCAGCATCAATCATGATTTCTCATTTAATCCTGAAATTTCTTATAAAAATGTCGAATGGGTCATATATTCATAACTTGGTTTTTTCAACTGAATATTTTTAACAGCTGCTATATAGCTAGGAATTTGCTCCCGGGTCTTAAAACTTGCAAGGAAGTGTCCACTTATATGTATGGTGATGGAGCTGTGATGTCTCGTGGATCTTCGGCTATGTTCAGCTCATGCTTTGAAGATGTTTGGAAAGCCGACATGGACCATATGGTTTGTAGTCTTTCCTTTATTCTCCCTCACAAACAACTGTATGCGACTGTGAGTTGCTTATTTCGTCTACCGGGTAGTAAATAATAATAGCTCACTTTGTCATCATTTACGAATTTTTCCACAGAAAATCATTTATAGAAAATACTAGTTGATATTGTTGTTCCCTCGAAACGAGCATCATTAGACACACTGTTTAATTTTGATTATTCAGATATATCGAGAGTTAAATTTTCCTGTTAAGTCGAGAATGTGCCGTAAAAGGGGTAGAGTGCGTAAGGTAAAATCTTCGTGGAAGTCTGCGGGGCATCCATCCCTGTGGAAAAGGACTGCAGATGGTAAAGATCTTCCGTGTAAGCAATATGCTCCGTGTGGGTGCCAGCCTATATGTGGAAAGGACTGCCCTTGTCTGCAGATAGGAAATTGCTGCGAAAAATACTGCGGGTACATTTTATTTCTGATAAAAGAAAAAAAAATAAAATTGGAAAGACAGAGAGAGACTTTTTTTTTTCTGTAATAGAGAAAATAAATGTATTTTGTTTAAAATGGGAACTAAAGAAAGTTCATTTTAACAGGTCCTATGAAGTGGGCCTAGACCTTAATAACTTAGGTATTTTTGTGTGATCAATGTAGTCTCTTATTTTCAGGTGCTCAAAGAGCTGTAAGAATCGGTTCAGAGGATGCCACTG